CAATTGTCAAAATTTTGGTGTCGGTCATTCGATTTCATCCTGGACACTACAGAAAATGGGCTAAAAGTGTAAAAAACCGAACTTCTCCTTTAAGTTTCTGTATATTTAAACAGGTCAAAGATCTGCTGACGTTTGCTAGCCTTCGCTTTTGTTGTGAAATATGGCAAAACAAATTTAGATGTTGGCTTTTGAGTATTTTTATTTCTTTAATTTTAACAATTTAATCTGCAGCAAAAGAGATATTGACAATAAAATAAGATTGTAGCTTCTATAAAATAACAATAAAGCTTTTCATTTACATTTAAAGTTACTGCAACTCATTGTTAGGTTTGAGTTTGACTTGTACCATTTATTTATTTGTTTCAACGGGTCACAAAAAATATTTTAAGCGCCAAAACTGGCCATCTGGCCACACATTGGACATCTCTAACTAAGAGCAAATCAAAGCATAACTGGCACAGTAGCTGGAAGATTATTAACCTACCATTCAACTACAGCTGCCACATTTGGATTTTTAAATATGCTTAATGTGAATATTGCTTAATATTTAAAAGAACTATTATAAAAACATAATATAAACAGGTATTTACATAGATCATATAAAACACCCTCTACTCTTATGTTCTCACCACCTGCTGTTCAATTAGACCTAATTTAACTTGGTTTAGGACACTTTGTTTAAATAAAAAAATTAGGAGATGATGTTTTAATTAACAATGAGAGGGAGCATAAAGTTAAAAGATTTAACTAACAAATAATACAGAATGGGAGAATAAAGAAGCAGAATTATGAAGGATAATCTGAGCCACTCTAACTATAAGCTTTATCAAAAAGGAAAGTTTTAAGCCTGCCCTTAAAAGTAGACAGGGTGTCTGCCTTTTAGACTAAAACTGGTAGTTTTAGGATAGGAGAGATGTGATCTCTCTTTTTAATTTTCATCAGAACTCTGGCTGCAGCATTTTGGATCAGCTGAAGACTTTTAACTACAGTTTGTAGACTTCCTGATAGTAAAGAATTACAATAGTCCAGCCTTGAAGTAACAAATGCATGGACTAGCTTCTCAGCATCACCCCTGGACAGGATATTTATAATTTCTGCAATATCCCGAAGATGAAAGAAGGAAATTCTAGAAACCTCTTTGATATGGGATTTAAATGACAGGTCCTGATCAAAAACAACACCAAGATTTTTTACTTTATTATTTGAAATCAGTTTAATCCCATCCAAATGAAATGACTGGCTAATCAGCTTATTTTTCAAAGACTCTGTGTTACTTTCATCTGTATTTCTAGAGAGATATAACTAGTAATATCATCAGCATAACAGTGGAAATTAATCCCATGCTGTCTAATAATTCTACCGATTGGTAGCCTATATATAGTAAAGAGAATCAGTCCTAGCACTGATCCATGTGGTACTCCACTGGTAATCCTGGAGCATGAGGAAGATTTATCATTAACATGAAGAAACTGAAATCTATCAGATAAATAATATTGGATAATTCCACTAAAGAAGCAATTACTGTCATTAACTTTTTTACCTTTCTCTTACATAGAAAATACATCTGATTTGTGTTTCTTTGTTCCTTTTGTGTGTTTGCTCTGTTTCTCAAAACCCCCAGTCAGTCGTGGCAGACATGCATGCTTGGAATGAGGGATTGCTGCAAAAACTATGCAATTGACGAGCCACTGTAACTGCATGCTCAATTCTGTGTTAACAAATAATATCAATTAACTTCATAAAGTGCCTTAAGATTGAGTTTTTTATTGTCTTTATATTGATAAAATAGATTTTAGTGAATGTCTCAAATGGATATGTTGTCCCTACAGCAGGGTAGCCCCTTGTGAAGATGCTGCTGAATCTGGTAAGAGTGTCATTTTCCACAGAGAAATAACCGCACTGCCCTGGGATGTTAATACCACCAAGTCGGGTCGTAAGGGGAACAAAAGTAAGTTCTTGCACATGACGCCATGTGATGGGCCGTGTCTACATAACTACATAAAGTCATCAATCCAAAAACATTCAAAGCATCTAAAGCATTCAACAGTGACAAAGCTGTAAAAATAGGATATTTGTCAAAGGGGAAGTTATTTTTTTTATTTCTGAGAATATTGGAAATGTATTAAATCGCTGCATAGGTCCTGTTGCATGTTTACAGTGGTACTGATGCTTCATCTATCTAAATCTATATTTTAACAGTTAAACTTACAGATGCTTGATGCCCCTATTGTATAGATACCATCCCCATCGCCTCACGGGAGGAAACGCTGGACTTGTTTGAGTAGAGGATCAGGAACACACAAGAGAGCATAAAAGGGTGAATGAGAGCGAGAAAAATGAGCGAGTGAGACAGAGAGCGATACACTAACACTTCCTTTGATTCTGCTCAGATGTGTCAGCGCCGCTCAGAGCGAGTGTCTCCCCATCGACTCGCCGCGGCGAGGTTCAAAGCGATTCTAAATCCCATAATGAAGTTAGTGCCGCTCCTGTGGACACACAGCGTGCTCACTGGTGAATGCCCTCATGCTGGTCCGACCAACACTAATTACGTGTGAGGCTTTCTGAGCACGTCTGAAAACGCTATTGTGGCTCCTGCTGTTTGTAGTGAGAGGATACACGGACGCACGATGCCACGATGCATCCAGATTCACAGACGCGGTTCAAAGCCTTCGGATGAACACAAACTTGGAAGCATCATCAAACAGATGGCGGCCCACTGTTGTGGTTTAAAGAGATGACCTCATGAGAAAATTCTGAATAAAAAGGGATTAGTGCTTTGATACAGTAAGCAATAAACAACTCTGGTCATCTCATTTTCTTTAGTGTGCATGCTTCTAAACAGCCTGCAAGGAGGATGCTAAACTTGGTAATTTAAGGGGAACGGATAAAAGCAAAATTAAATAAACTTTTTAGTTTCACTTTTTTTCCTTTTTTTCCCCTTTTTTGATCTTTTTTTCCCCCCTTTCTATTCTTTCCTTATTTTTTCACTTCTGTAATCAATATTAATTTAAGAGTTTTTCTTTAAGTTTTCCATAAATCAGTGAAGCATATGATGCCCACAGTGATTCAAATTGTTACTTGGAACAAAAACCTTATTAAAGGATGAAGATTAGGAGACGATTAACAACATACTCATTTAGGGAACAGAAAAAGACACTGCAGAGTAAGTGATGCACAAAATTATCTATCAAAACAAAACAACTTAGGAAAAATCTAACCTTAAAATGTCTGTGGATAGATGAGCGAAAAATATGAACAGGGAATTAAGAACAACATTTTATAGATCTTGAAATCTTGAAAATAAATCCAATTTATTATTGACTTTTCATTGTTTTTCAAAGTTCATAAGTAATCAAAAAACACTTCTGCCTACTTAATTTTTTTCTTTTGTGAAGGGTTCCTCAGGGCTCGATTCTTGGTCCTATTCTTTTTTCTTTATAGCAGCCCTTTCTGCGGTCTTTGAAAATATGGCACCTCCTCCCATTTTACACAGAAGTTGTGAGATTTTGTCTATGTTGTATTTCTGTTTGTATTTTAACTGGTGTGCCGTCTTGGCCAGGTCTCCCTCGAAAAAGAGATTTCAATCTCAAGGGACCTCCTGGTTAAATAAAGGTTAAATAAAAGAAATAAATAGAAACCTGACAGATATGTGTTCTAATATAATCCACATTCAAGCCCTTAGAATTTTCCCCAGTAATTAATTTTTTTTATTTTTAAAAAGAGCTAAGCACACTTTAATATATGTGGGCCAAGCAGTACCTCATTTAACACACCACATTTCTCCTGCCTTGAGTTACCCTTTAAAAAAAGGCTCATAACCAATAAAGAATTCATTGTAAACTCATATTTCGAATATAATGGCCTTGTTTTTTTGTGTCTCTCTCTTTTAATTCAGCCTTATCTTCCTTCTCAGGCCCTTAGATCAGACGACCAGATGTTCTTATTTATATGAAAACTAGGCAGAAGCTTTTTCTGTTGTGGCTCCTAAACATTAGAATATGCTGCTTTAAATATGGGGCAGGGTCCTTCCTGTTTTTTGAAGTCTCTTTTGAAAACATCTTCTTTCAATACCATTTGGCCTCTGTGTTAATTAACGTGAGTCTCTGTTCTATATTATGTTTTTTATTATTTGTCTTTTAGTGGTTTTATCTCTAATTTTTTTATGTGTAGTTTGTCAACCTGGTCGCTCTGAAAACTGAAGGTTGTGATCTTGCCCTCAAGGTTACAGAGATCTAGGATGTTTTTTTTTTTTCATTTGTCGTTGTTGTTATATGCGCTACTTGAGCTTAGCCTCGATTAAAAAAGCTGTATATATTGGATGAATCAGGGTGGCTTTCATGTGATCTGTGAGAGGGAAGTATCCTCCGCTCTGGTGCTGTACAGCGCTAAGTGAATATCTGTCATTTGGCACTAAGCAGTATTACTTTTCCTATCCCTGTAAGTAAGGTTAATGAGTACTTCTTGGTCAGATAAAGACATGTAAACATTGTTGCTTCGTCTAGTTTAACTTCAGACCCAAGATCATTGATATATATTACTGAACAGTATAGTTATTGACCTGTGCACCCAATGAAAAACCATTGCTTTGCATTGACTCATTGCTTGTTTCTTATCCCTTTTGTTTTGTTTGTTTTTTTAATGAGAAAACTACACGTTATGATACATAGAAATATGTGCTCTTTCTAAACTTAAATCCAAAATAATTGACAGAACTGTGCATTGAAGTGTTAATGAATGCAGCAAGCTGTGCTACAAAGATGCTCTCTGTGGATTTTTACAGCTAATGTATGTAAAAGAAAAGCAAGCATATCATATCAAGCACAACTAGTTTAAAAGAAATTTGTTTAATGCTGAAATACTGTATCAGGGGTTACGGTATTGTGGTATTGTGATTCTCATAAATTAAATAAGAAATAAATAACTAATTATAAATATTCAAATCCATTTAATTTAAACGATTCAATATAGTATTCATATTCTAACATTTTTAATGGCATATATCTGTACATCTCTTAATTTGAGAGTCATTTCATGTCATTTGGGTTTAATTATGTTAAAGTCAAACTTTCAAAGCCATAAGTAATTCTTCTTACAAAAATGTATTAGCCTTAGAGTTAGGGTGTGTCCATATTTGCTGCTATAGGCTTAGGCTGCTGGAGGACTGGGGGGCCACTTTTTATCGTTCTCGCTCATTATATCTCTATTCACCAATTCTGCAGTAGCTCAATCTGACCTGTTCCTGTTTGGCTGTGACACCATTCTGGAGGGAGACATCAGCTGGGCTGCTGCCATCAACAACATCTGTTATAGATCATAGAATACTTAGTTTTGTTACTCTCTAAGACGGAGGTCTTCAACAGGGGTCCGCGACCCCAAGGGGGTCCATAGAGGTACTGTATGGGGGTCGCGAAAGTTTTGGTTGATTAGACTTTTTTTTTATATTCTCCCCTGCAAATGTTTCCACTAATTGAAATGTCTTTAAATCCACATTAACATGAATTCAACATACTGTAGTAAACAGATAAATGGAGGCAGAAGATGTCTTTCAGTCATCAATGCACACATTCAGCGACACACAGGAGCTCTTTCAAGCTGGGCACCATTTCATTCACAATACCTGTCCCCTCTAAGAGGAATCAGAATCAGAAATACTTTAATAATCCCAGGGTGAAATTACTTTCATTAAATTACTCCATCAGTAACAGAGTGACTATAGGACCAGTTTGATATAACACAATTTCATACAATATATATAATTAGGGGGTCCCGCTCCATCTCGCCATCAGTTTGGGGGTCCTTGGCCTAGAAAACATTGAATACCCCTGCTCCAACACATTGTTATGGATGTATTTGCTTTTACTGTGACTAACTCGATGTACTCCCTTTCATCTTTTTTGGCTTGAAAAGTGGACCAGAGCTAATTTTTTTAACTGTCTCTTTCTAGACAGAGTCGCTTATTGAGCTATTTTATACATTTTTTTTTATAGAAATTATTTATGGATCAGTGCTAATGTGTTACTATTTCTGCTTCTGACTTCTTCCTTTAAAATTTAGTTTTTTCTCTCCACAGTCGCTGCATGCATTGCTCAGTGTGAGGGGTTGCTGAAGAGTCAGTGACTAAATGCAAGAAAACATCTGCGGTTGTCACATTCTCATCAAGGAGGAGCAAATCCTAGAATGTGCACAACTCAATGCAATCAGCTGGGTTTCCGCAGACAGAAAACGTTTAACCAATCTGTCTGCATGATCTGATTAAATATTCTTTTTAAGGCATCTTAAGGGTATAGTGTGGTTAATTGGAGGTATATAAATATACTGAACTGAACAGAAGGAAAAAGAAATCTGTTTTTTGCCTTTCTGATGCTGCTTCTTTTTCTGCAGCAGCCCTAAGACAATTCACAAAAATGGCTCCTGTGTGTCAGGACATTATGTCCCATAAAGCAATATACTTAATACATGCCTAATGCTGCTTTATTGAAAGGATCATAGTTATCAGTATTTAGTTACTGATAAACAGCAGAGGAAAACTAAAAATAATCTTGAGTTACACTTTTTCTTTAATATTCTTTTAACGTTTTTGCTATAAAACAACAAATTTATTTCCTATAGTGGGCTGTCAGTTATAGTTTCAGTAAGATGGTTCTCTGCTAACACCAGCATCATTCACTCTTTAAAAAAGGCAGTTTATTCATACTTAAATTATTTTCAAATAATTAATCCTGAATGGAAATAACAGCAGAGTCTGTTAAAATCATTGCTAGAGTTTTCTTTGAATGCAATATCAGCTTTATTATTTTTTATGCAGAGAACTGCTACATCATAAAAACTATTTTTGGTGTAACCTGCTAAGAATAATTTATCATTTCATTTGTGAGATTTTAAAGCAAAATTTATGATTATCTTTCTGCCTGGTGGGTAAGATCAGGTCTAAACTAGGGATTTGTAAGTAATAAAACAAAGTTGCTCCGACGTTGAACTTTCCCATATCTGTCTTTCAGCACAGTACTGTGTCTTTAAAGCTGGATGGGAAAATAAAGCAATGTTATATCTTTCAAATATAAGAAGGAAAGAAAGTAATAGAAGAAAGACGGAAATATAATACAAAAAAAATTTATTTTTGGAGGCGAAGCAAACCAAAGAAAACAGGAAATGTATTCGCTGAAAGCTCTTAGCCACTTGTAATTCTACAATAGCAGGAACCACATCCTTCTCTGTTTGGTCACCCATCTGTGAGAGTAAAACCCACAGATTAAGGGAGCATCTCCTTTAGGATACTTATTTTAAGATAAGATTTATCAAAACCAGATCAAGGCACCACAGCAGAGTCGTTTAGGATTAAAGCTCAAAGAAGGACAGAGATGTGTTGAAATGAGACACAGAAGGAATCAAGAATATCTGACCCACAGTTTACTGTGTCGGATTTGCTGAAGCCGCAGCAGCGGGATGTTAATCTTACCAGGCCGTTACAGTTGCTCAGGGCCACTTTGCTGGAGTGAGGCTGGTCCTGCAGGTGGCCTGTGTAGTGACAATGAGGAGAGTAAGGGTGACTCCAGGCTAATTGGCCCCTCTTCCAGTACTCCACCCTGAACTGGCGAGACAACAGGCCTCCCTGCAGCGTCAGGTTCAGCAGGAAGTTGTTCTGTGATGTGGACAACTGATAGAAGAGCTAAAAGATGAAGAAAAGGAAGATGTGTGAGGCGTTAATGCCTTGATTAGTCTGAAACAGACTGATAATATCTCAATGTAGAGTCTGAAAGCCTTAATACAGAGTCAGGCAGCCTGTCTTCAGTGCTTCGCCGTCTTCTTTGGTGGTATTTCGTCCTCTCTGTGTCCAGCATTTCGCCATATGGTCCTACACGCACAGGGATGGCGATCTCATACTGGTCTAGGCTGGACAGGAAAGCAGCTGTAGAGGCATAAAGTTTAAAGTTAAACAAAGAAGTCCAGCTTAACCGGACTGTCTAATATTAAAACCAACAAATGATTCTGTTATTGCAGCAAGCCTTTGGGGAGAGGCTTACCCCGGTGGTAGGAGAGAACGGAACCATCGGTTCTTTACTTACTACAACCACCAGGCCAAATGCGGGTTGCAATGGCTGCCTTGAAATGTATTTCTATGGGCTGCTGGAGATCACTGTTATTTTCCAAGTCAGTGAGGGGCTGTTGCTCAGAGAGCAGAATTCGTTACGATCACTTCGATATACGTGGATTAAGCAAAATACCAATTATGACATGAATGTGACAAAGGAATATTATTATAAGACAGCCTTAAAAGCTTTTAAGATAAAAAAAAAAAAAAATTTTTATTAATTTGTCATTGAATGATCTATTGAATGAAAAAACTTACATTTTAAATAAGTTAAATTAGGGAAGTTATTTGTATCACTGGTGATAAATAAAGCATTTTTAAGCTATTTATTATGTTTTCTGTTCACCACACTCTGTCTGATTATATAAGTTATGCTTTTGAAGAACAAAAATGTCATACTGATGACTTAGAGGTATCGAAAACCCACGTATTAGGTAATACACTTGGTGTTGAAGTGTTAGAAGCCTAAAAAAGATGGACATGCATGATATAGGCCCTTAAAAGTTTACTTTTGTATATCTGTCCAGAAGTCTACCATTCTCTTAATGTAGTCGTTCGTTCAACAATGTTCTTTAACTACCTTCTGAAGCTCTCTAAAACAGCTGTATTTACCGATAAGGTCATTTCTGAGAGGGAGGTTCAGTTTTTATTTCAGTAAGCCTGGCTCCAGGGAGGAGATCAGTTTAAAGTCCTGCATCAAGTTCTGGTTCCACGTCCTATCTCGGCTACCCTCTTCCACTGAGCCTGCTCAGCTACACCTGATCCTGTCTGCTCCTGCGCGTGACCATCTGGTCACGCTTTCGGACACTGTCAGACTCTGAACCCTCATGGGAGCTTGTGGATGCCTGGAAGTCTGGATCCTGCCACCTGTTCTGTTCCTGCCTGATCTGGATCCTGTTCTGTTTTGTTCCTGTCTGTTCTGGATCCCTGACCAGGATCGGTTTCCAGCATGTCCTCTGGGACTGCAGCACTTAGGGACATTCTTGGACTGGACTTTTAAACCAGAGTGTCTGTGATTGGCCGGTGCCCCGCTACGCATCCTGCAGTGTCCGCGAGCCACAGCTCCACTTTAGTTTTTGTTGTATTTAATAAACGTTTTGAACTTTCCTACTGACTGTCTCTCCTTGAATACTGGTTCCATCTGTCCTCGGTTCATGACAGTTTATATGACTCAGTAATTTAGTAAATAAAGTAAGACACAAACTTGCATGTCTTTACACCATCAAGTATTGGATTTTGTAATATTTTCATGCATTCAATGTTTTTTTTTTGGCTTGTTTAATCTATTTTCAAAGCTCTGTGTTACAAGTCCGACTATCACAATAAAGCTATTGATAATGACGTATCTTTGGCCAATCAGGAAGCCTATTTGATCAATGACTGTCATGTTCTTATTATGATGGTCTATAAAAATGTCTTTTTACATATCTCAAAGGCTTTTTGGCTGCTAAGCGACCCTTTGGTTCCTCTGAGAACTAAAAGATCAGTAACATGTGGAGCATCAACTTGGAAGCATATGGCAACTTTATGCAAAACTGCTTTGGCACAAAACAAAGGGTTATCTCTGCACAACAACTTTTTTCACTGTTAAACTAAAAACTCAACATCCACTGCCATCATTTGAAAATAAACAGCAATAGTTTCTTCTGGTTGCTGTGATTGGTAGAAGGTTTGCATCTGGTGTTTATGGGTGAGCAATATCTAGTGTTTGTTTTCTTTGCTTTGTATTTGCATTTTAAATCTTGTGTGTTTTTTTGTAATAATGACTGTAACTAAACATACAGCAAATTTTTCTTAGAATATAATTGGCTTAGTGATAAGTGTGGGTACCAAACATTTGTCTAAAAAAAATGACTGCATATCATTTTGCATGTCAGGAAGTACAAGTAAGTAAGCTGGTAAAAATTAAAGTGAGTTTGTAAATTGCAAAGCAAAAGTGTCAGAAAGTCAAACAAAGAAGAAGGTAAGAAAGCAAATGTAAGAACAATAATAGACAAAGTAAAAGTATGAAAGCTAAAGCAAAGACAAGTTGTTTAAAAATGAAAGAAAACATGTTTTAGAAAATAAAATAGAACTATTAAAGGTAATCAGAAAAGACAGACTAAAATAGAATTGAATAGAAATCCCTTTTATTGTCCACCAGTGGGAACATTTAGATAAATCAGAAAGTAGAAGCAGAACATAAAAAAATAACAGGAAAAGACAGTAAGAAACTGTATAGAGCGGAACAATTACCATGACAAAAACTACAGTACAAATACTAGGAAAAACACACAAAGACTAAAAAATTATCAACTTCAAAAGTTTTAAAAAGAAAACTCAGTATTCACCAGGGATGTAAACACTATTTATCTTCTTAGGAAATGAAAAATTGTCAAAATAAGGACACAAAAAGTAAGCAAAAAGTAGTAAGACAGCTAAAGCAGATATGGTGATTATTAAAAATACACAAGCAACAATAAAGTGAGCAAAAAAATTACAAAAAGGCAAAAGCAAAAGAAGTAAGAAAGTCATTAAAGGTGAGTAAGAAGATGCAGGTAAATAATATAAATTCAACTCTAATATTACAATCTTAGGGTTCTGGGTCTTTTATCCTTGTGATGTTTATCTAACTGTGATTTAAAGCACCTGAGAGCTAAAAGTCCCTCTGAGGTGTAAGCGTCCCACACAGACACAGCGGTCCACAACGCATCACAACTGCTGGCAAAAAAAACTAGAGCTAAGGACACAGGTGGTATCAGCATTATCTCTGAAGCACAGGAAAAGCTCCTGCAGAGAAAATAACAGGGGCTGTTTTATTATAATAGATAAAAGCCCTGAAAATTACTCAGACCTCACACAGAACGGCGAGACCACCAACACAAATTAGTCTACTGTGTGAATATCGCATCACTTTTTTTTTTCTCCACAGGATTCCTGGCAAATTCCTCTGAGTCCCAGTCTGTCCAGACCACCAGCACCTAGCATGTCCATCCCTTTAATAACTTTCAACCAAATTATTTCAATAATGATACATGACACATTTCAAATTGCAAAAACACTTTAATAGAAACACTGAGGTTATCTCTGGTTTACTCTAGTTAGAGTCATAAAACACAGGTGCTGGAAACAAACCTGTTAATATCAACTAACTTTGATGATGTTAACCTGGAGAAGTTTAGATCTCTCTCGACCTGGTTCTAGTTGAAGCTGTCGGTTTAATGAAAGCCAATCATAGATTTAGATTTAAACTGCTACTGGGGACATATGGAGAGAAATTGGTTCCAATATTATAAGTAGAGAACACTTATAAAAAAGGAACTTAAAGAAAATAAAAAAATAAATAAAAGTTTAGAAAACTTCTCAATCAGCGAGTCTTTCGAAATTTTCTTTTTTTTCTGAATGTAAATATTTTTTTTCCACACTTTTTATTTGTTAATGTTATTTTTCCCGTTTTTGTGGAGAAAACCGGTTTTATCAACTTAATTCTTCTTTTTACCCGTTTTTCCAACACTTTTGGATGTAACAGAATTTGAATTACTGCCTTTGAAAAACCAAGGGAAATTATTCTGCTCTGAGTGAACCTTAGCAACAGCATTTCTATTGGTCGACACACGGACCACCCAGAAGTGCAGAGAGTGAGATATGGAGAACAGGATATGAAGGCTGAATCCCAAATTAACCCCTAAGCACTAACCCTTCACTATCAAGTGTCACTCCCAGTGAAGTCACACTCGCAGCTGTGGAAGCGCCTTGATTGAAAGTGGGGGGGTAAGCATTCGTTGCTATGACAACACTGTGACGTCCCATGTGCGTGGCTGTAGCTCTTTGGCGCAAGTTAACATAACATTAAACATTTACCCCTTTCTTAAAAAATATATATATACCATCAAATAAACTATTTCAAAGAGGATCTTGCCTTTTGGAATTAATTACGTTTTTTTGCATAAACTCACTTGGAATTTTTTTATCAGTGTGACGAAGATGAAGCAAACCAGAGGAGTTTGCTTTTGGCGGAACGCGTCTACTCCGCCAACAGGCTGCTGTTACACTTGCTACCAAATGCCAGCGAGCCAGCAACTGATGCAGACGCGCTATTAAATGGGTATTTTTGGCCCTCCCCACTATGTGGTTTGGGACAGCACTTAATGTGGCGGACCCTCAGCGTGAAGGCGCAAACGGAGGGTTAGTGCTTCGGGTTAGTGCTTCGGGTCCGGTTTGGGATTGGGCTGAAAAGATTGGAAGATCCAAGTCTTTCAAAGAAAAAACATAATCTGACAACAACAAAAAAATTGGGGAAAAAAAGTAGAAAAACAATGCAATGAAAAGTAAAAATTTCGAAAATAAAATCTGAATAAAAAAAAGTCTGTTTATCAGCTATAAATGGAAATCAGCTGTGCTATTGCAGTGAAACCTCTAAAACCTGAGGACAGCTGCCCTCAAGGGCAGGCCTGGTCCAGTGGGTAAACTGAGCCAATTACTACTTCCCAGTTAGCACTAATAGTAGATATACTCTACTGTCCAAAAATAAAGCACATAAAAAATAGGAAAAACCTTAAATCTCCTGAGAAACTTAAATCAGTTGTACATGGAAACAAGAAGCAGTGGAAACTCGCCTACAATTTTTACAGGAGAAAACACCCAAACCAAAGGGCGCACTCATACAGAAGTGCCTGTGCTGATAAATGAAAATAGTGGAAGGAAGTTATCTGAATGGAAAAGAGCACCTCCCTCTATGCCAAATACGTCCTTGGACTCTGGATCTGAACAATCCTGCTCTCTCTGGTTTGAAGCAGATCTCAAGAGAGAAGGCAGAATGTAATATATGTTCTTCTATA